AGAGAGAGAGGGAGAGAGAGAGAGAGGAGAGAGAGAGAGAGAGAGGGGAGAGAGAGAGAGAGAGAGAGAGAGAGAGAGAGAGAGAGAGAAAGAAGAGGAGAGACACAGACAAAGAGACATGGAGACTGAGACAGAGAACATGCGTACCCAAGCAAGCCTTTTGTAAGCTCCTTGAAGGCAGCTATAGTACAATGCAAAGATCATGCTTAATAAATATTTGTTGATTTACTAATTAATTTAAAGTTGCTATATATCTGCTCCAAAGTGTCCATTTCCCTTCCTGGTAAAGTATCATTGATGCCGTGGCTAGTTATAATGTTCAAAGGTGAAAACGAAAATGGGCATGTGGCAGCAGGGGTGGGAAGAAGAAATTCTTACTACTCCATTTACAATGTACAATCACATACATGCTTTGGGTGAAACTCCGTGCGTTCAGTAATGTCAAGAACTACAAATTTTAGTATTTCACAATAAAGTCATTTAGAGTGAATATGAAAATTGCAATCAAGATACACACGTAAGAGTGGCTACTTCTAAAAGAGCTGATGATATCATACTTCATAAAGCATCGCTAGAGAGTTTTCCTCAGTCTGGTTGCTCTATGATAAAGATGTGGCTTGGCTCTGTGTCACCAGCATAAAACAGAGAGTGCTAAATTATGAGTTAGACTTGAGAATTCAAGTCTCATCTCTCCTATTTACTTCTTACAAAAATGGCTGGGCAAGTTAACCAATTCCTATCTGACCTTCAATTTTGTCATCTAGAAAATGGGCGGGATTAGACTAGGTGATCTCTAAGGTGCCATATGAATTTAACTATCTAGAAATTCTATAAACAATTTTTCTTCTGATGAAAATATTTGCTTATGTTTTAAGAACACTAAATATGCTGAATACAAAAGTTAAAAATCATGAAAAGGTAACACACTTAACGTTTCTGTGGCATTGTGTGTAAATAGCAAAGAGTAGATATCCTTTTGTCTTTCATTTTTTCTTTGATTACTGTGTGTTTGTGTATGTGTGTATGAAACATACAAACAAGCTCAGAAGGGCAAAACCTTAACAACATCTTTTGTTTTTAAAAAAAAAAAGCACCCACATTTTTCTCTTTCTATTTTTTTTTATTCATCACAAGTTTCTAACACATGGTGTTAGAGTAATGGTCTTTGGCACCATGACTTAGAGTTCTTTTTTTGTTTTTGTTTTTGTTTTTTTCAAGTTTAACCTTTAAATTACAAACAGTAGCTATAGTAAGAATTCTTAAACCTCATTCATTAAACTAAATGGAAAAATTAAGACAACACACTTACTTTGAAGGACCCACCACCTTCCCCCACCCCAAAGAGGGGTTAAGGAGAAAGTAGAAAAAGGAGAATAGAGGAATGAAGAACAGAGGCAAATAAAAAATAAAACAAAGAGAAAGTTGGGGAGGGATAGAAAGATTAAAGAAGATAGGGATAATGGGAAAGAAGGTGGGCTCAACAACTTCATTTTCCTGATATAAAATTCAAGTACTTGAAACAAGAAATATTATTTATAAAATTTACCTATAGTCTGGATGCAATTTTTCTACTTTTTATGGTTTTTTTTTTTTTTACTATTTTCTGGCTTTTCAAAAAATAACATTTGGACTGAAGGGCACTTGGTGATCATAAGAAACTCAGTTCACTTTCATGTTGACACACACTCGATATATACTTGAGGTAATAGGAACACTTTGTAGTTTTCCTTTTCTTCAGGACATTTGAACAGTAAGCTTCTTCTAAGAGCTTCATCAGAAAGATGATGGTTTGTGAATTTTAAGGCATGCATGAGAAAGAGATGTGCCAGGAATCAGCACCACAATGGGATCCCAGATCCCTTGGGCTTTAAATATTGCTTGTCTATCATACGCACTTAGACTGTTTCCCCCAGACCAGCAGTAAACACAATTCTTCTGGGATTGCTTTTCAAAATTAGAACACAAACATTACAAACCACAAACTTCACTTGTACCTTAGTGTCTAAATTATTTAGTAACTAAAACAACCAATTCAAAGTTAATTCTTTCATCCTCTCCGAGAGCAGCATAGGAACTTTTTTTTTCTTTTTTTCTCTTCCAACTTGTGACTCGAGGCTCAGAGCAGACATTTGTATGTAAGTATGGAATAATTAAAAGAAAAGCTTTTTCTAAAAATTTTCTGTCCCAAGTGAAGCTGTTTTGTAGAAGTTATTTAAATAATTCTCTTTTCTTCTCACTGATAACTTGAAAAGAATTTTTTTTGTACAACAGTCATCCAAAAATAAAAGGTAACTTGATTTGATGGGAAGAAAATAATTTATGGATCAATAAATGACACTGCGATATATCGTGTTCCATTTATAATAGGAAGTCCTTCGTGCAAATGAGTGAGTCTTCCAGGATGCATGAAGCTCCAGCCTTTTCTGGGTGACTCAATAGAACAATTGTACCTTAGAAATTTGCATCCACCTCCCTATGAACAAAAGAACAGAGAGCTATTTCAGTTAATTCATTTTACTTTCTAAGGAGTGCTATAATTCAACCACATTATCTGAATAAGAAAACTATTTTAGAAAATTAAAGGAAAGGTTTTGGGCAAGGACTGGCATTTTTCTATTTCAAAGATGAAATAACTAAATTTCTGAATTACCTGAAAGTCTTCTCCCACATTGTTGAGAGCAATATTGATCGTAAAAGTAGATGAGTCATGATGGGGTCTAAGGGAACGCTGTCGGTCAGGAGAATATTTAACAACAAAATTCAGCAATGCAAATCCCTGAGACAACATAATAAGCCAGAAGAATCTATATCAATATCTGTGTTAACACTCACATCCTCTATCGAAAACTTGGGGTGGGGCTAGGGGTGGGGGAGGGGTGGGAAGAGGGACTTAAATACCTTTGTATAATAGCCAGCAAAGACTTTCAGTGTAACTGGTGCAATAAATTCTCTGATAAAATGAAGCCATTCATTTTCCAGTCCAATTTGCTTCATGTGGATATCATCCGTGGGGACGTTTTCATAACCACCAGATATACGGCTATCCTAATAACAATATCATCACCATCAACATAAAGTCTGACCTATGTACCACTTGCATTTAAATTTTCTTGTAAGTTTTCCAACAACAAAATCATGAAGGGCTGTAAAAGAGCCAGCTGCTCAGTAATGACCTGCCATCTGCCCTAAAATTACAACCTTGAAGTAGCTTCCCTAACAACTGGATTTCCATAGCTACCCAAATGATCTAGCCACAATGACACAGAATAATCTCGAATCTCTAAAAATCTACATGAAGGGGTCACTAAAAAGTAATGAGATGCATTTTTTCTCAGCTGGTTTTTCTAGTTAGTTACTCCATAGTTACATTATATATAGCTTTCCTTTCATTATTCATAGGGGAAAAAAAGAGCAACTGTATTTTGGATTATCTGCCACAGGAAAGCTGTTTCTAGTCTCAGTACTTCCTTTCAGCCTCACAAAGTGATGTAGTGGCAAGAAGGCTACATTTGTAGTCAAGGATCTGGGTTCAAATCCAGACTTTGGAGTATACCAGATCTCTTTATTTTCCAGTTTATGCCAACATCCTGACTCCAAAGCCAACAAGCTATCCATGAGTTCTTTTAGAAAGCTGGCATTACAGAAAGCAAAAGAAATACCCGAACTGATGAATTCTACTTCTTCTTTGAGTTTTAGTGCTGATGAAGAAACTGGAGGCTAAAGAATAATGATGATAGTTTTTACTTATAACATATTCTAAAGTTTGTAAGGCACTTTACATTTGTCATCCTCTTCCATAATTATTAAAAAAAAAATCTGAATTGGGTGTTTTCTTATTACCATCTTACAGAGAATGAAATTGAGGAAAGGAATTAAGTCTCTTGCTCATGATCACACAATTATAATCTGCCTGAGAGGGGATTCAAATTCAGGTCTTAATGACACTAAGTCCATTGCTCTTGCCACTACCCCCAGCTGCCTCTCACCAACAAAGTGATTTGCCTAAGATCACATAACTAGTTAGTGACAGAGTGAACCTAGATGTCCTGGTTGACTTCCAGTGTAGTACTTTTTTCATCATGCTATGAAATAACTGAAAATATCTAATATCTTTGATACAAATAGAAACTCAGATCTGACTTCCTTACCTTCTACAGCTTGTAATAATCGGTCTCATTATTCATATGCATCAGATAGAGTATTTTTTTAATTAATTATTTTCAGTTTTCAACATTCGCTTCCATAAGCGAGATGGCGCATTTATATCAAAAGTTGCAACATACGTGATGTTTTCCCCCAGACCATTGTCCATAGTGTTCCATTTCTTCAACCAATTCATCACAGGCTTTTTCAGAAAATATGGGGAACCAAAAGACATCTGGGCAAGGCTATAAAAGGAAAGGAAATCATGGAGATTAGTGGAATTTTCATGTTTAGTGGGTTTTTAACTATTAATCGAAAATTCAAAAGTAAAAAGGATGAGCAAATATACAAGCACTAATGCTACTATAATATAAAATACTTTAAAATCATTTTTCCAAAAATTGTTGATAGTGTCAAAAATGAGTAAAGCATACAATATTTAACAGTAAAAGGTTTTTGTTTCTTTTTTTAATGACGCGGGATGCTGGAGAGATAATGGCTCTACTCTAAAAGGGCTTGAAACAATATCTTTAAACAAAAGTTTGGATAGTTTTAATACATCAGGGGTACTCATAAAGGGGGCCACACTCATTGGGAAACAATTGCAGTGAGGCACGCAGTTCGTGATGGACATCTGCTCTTGTGCCAAAGTCAGGTGTTAATCAGGACGAGAGACCCATGAATAAGTGCATAAAGGTCGAGGGGGCCAGTGAAGTAACACATGCAACTTTCTCCTAAAGAAACTATGGGATGGCTCACATGTATAGAAAAAAAAGGAGAAAAAGTAAAAAAGAAAAAAGCAAAAAGCAGCGGTGGCCTGGTGGCTGTGAGGCATTTGTAAATATAGGACCAAGGGAGGGGTTTAGAAAAACTGTCACATTCAGAGGAATTCATGCAAGGTCTTGCCAGAATTCAGTTTGGCAAAGCTGATTGTATAGAGATGCTCCAGCTCAGCAGGACCAAAGTGAGAAATAAAACAGTTAAGAGTCTCTCCTTCTCTGTTTTCGAGCAATCAGAACCACTCTGAGATGAAGTAAAGGAAGGCCAGGATGGGATCACAAAATCAAGCTCCAACAGGTTTGTTAGTGCTAAGATGTACCTTTAAACAACATGGTTGCAGATAGATTTTTTAAAAGTTAGAAGACTATTAAAATGACATATGATATAATAAAAGCTGATACCTATATATCACTTTAAAGCTGGCAAATCACTTCACATTGTCACTATCAGATGTTATTAAATTGTTTCCAGTTGCTAAGCTCTTTAAAAAAAACTACATAGAAATTAGAATTAAGCTTTTTCAAAAACTCCTTTTCATCGCTCTTTGTTATAAGCTATAGTCACTCTTATATTCACATTCCTAATTGACTATTACCGGTAGATTTTACCAAAATATACTCCATTTCCATAAGTAATCTTCCCAGTCCTACCACCACCGTTCTAAGCAATATAGCATTAATGTCCCTCCCCAAAAAATAGCAACTCCCCTACATTTTATTCATCACCACAAACCTGCTCCACTAAATTTTCTGTGAAGATCTTGGAATAGTTAGGGTTTATATATTTTTCCTTCCAGTCCTGCAAGAAAGCAATTGAGCAGATTAAGTCAGGCATATTTTGGATAGGCATACCAGCGAAATTTGAAGTTCAAGCATTTTACAGAATGTTTATGCTATTTATACAGTGACTACTTGTCAGGAGTACAATCCAAATTTATGGCAACAATGGGGCACATTTGGTATTTTGACTTGAATGTTGGTCGCCTCATTTTATAAGATGACAAATGTTTAAGGAGGGCTCCTAGAATTTCATATTCATGAAATCCTCCAGGGATGAATGTTTCTGATAGCGCTCTCTGTATCATAATAGACAGCCTATAAACAAATGCTGATCAATATATAGGAAGATGGAGTGGAAGTAAGGCAAAGGGGGTGTGTGTATGTGTATACATTTGATAGCTAAGGCTAAATGGATATGTTGGACCAAAAGTCATACCACTGGTGACTACTTACCTAACTCTTTATTGTTTACATTTCTATTGTCAGATCTAATCATTTCTTTTTTCTCAGATTTGTTTACCACAAATATTATAATTACTAGTTCTTATGAGTGAAGTATTCATTTAATCAAGAATCACTTATCAACCATTTCCATCTCTTGTCCTTATTGCCACTTTGCAGGGTGTGAGGTGAAACCTGATTTGTTAATTCTGATTTGCATTTCTCTTATTATTATCATTCTTTCAAAATGATTCTTAAGCATTTTTGCCAGGCATTGTCATAAGTACTAGAGATACAAAGACAAAAAAAAGAAATAGTCTCTGACATCTTCTGTCTAGGGAGTCAACAAGAACATCACTGGGTCTGGAATCAGAAAGAACCTGAGTTCAAATCTAGTCAGAGACACATACTAGTTATATGACCCTGAGCATGTAACTTAACCTCTGTGCCTCAGTTACCTTATGTGTAAATGGGAATAATAATAGCACCTCTTCCCAGGGATGCTGTGAGGATCAAATCAAATATTTGTAAAAAGCCTGGTAAAAGTTAAATGTGCTATATAAATGTTATCTCTAATTATTACATATATATGTAAATGCACAAAATAAACATAACTATTAAGTGTGTTCAACAAATATTTCCATATGTTGATATCCATAATTATAGCTTAGGGATTTAAAGCTGAAAAGTGCATATTCTAATTCATGTCTATTTTATATTTAGTCATAATAGCTACATGCATCCATCCCAAACATTTTATTATGAGGAAAAGGCCCCTTTTGAGACAAACACTGGATCACTTGAAAATATAAAAAGCAGTCATTTAAAGGGGAATCAAACCAGCAGAATTTAATGAATGTCTCTTCTTAAGACCCTTCCGCTATTTAATCATATTTCTAGCTATGCAGAAGTAAAATGTGGTTACACGAGAATTAGCTGTCATTGAGTACACATGCCAAATAAAATGGCAAAGACATATCCAAATAACCCAAACCAAAAGAAACCCTTCATCTGAAATATATAGATATTTGAGGCACAAACACTTGGGAATCTTCCAGTTAGAGTCAGCTCTGAGGTGGCACAGTGGCTACAGAGTTTGGCCTGGAATCAGGAAGGCCTGAGTTGAGATCCGGCCTCAGACAATGAGTGGCTCTGGGCAGAGTTTCTCCATAGGTTCCTTAACCGTAAAATGGAGATCACAATAACACCTCCTTCATAAGGCTGTTGTGAAGATCTGTAAAGTGCTCAGCACAGTGCCTGGCACATGGTAGGCATTTAATAAATGCTTATTTTTTTCCCGTTCCCTTCTCTCTACCTTTAAATAATTTAGACATCTGCCTTAGTACTTCACCTTATTTTCCCCCAAGTCGATACAATGTACAGGTACTGAAGGCTTCATTTATATATAGGGACAAAAACTTTCTTGATGTTCTTATTTGATAGTCATAGGCAGTAAAAATTTTTGTAATTTTTTAAAACTTTTCCCCCTATGAAGAATGAGTCCTAAAATAATAGACATGTGATTTATCTCACATTGATTGTTGAATTTTGAACAAGATTTTATATTGATGCATTAATTCTATCTAGCATAAAGTATGAGGAACTATTTTAGACTTTGTCTTCAATTGTTTTCTATCTCATCATTCTGGGAAACTCAAACATTAATTATTTCACTTGGAGCCATTTCAACCAGGATAATCTTACCACAGACAAATAAAGCCCCTGAAGCGGGGAGGAGGAAAAGAATAGTTTCTGCCTAGTTCCTATGACTCCTACTATATATCTCCTCCAGAGATTTGGATGCTGATATGAAATTTTACAGTTCCTGCTATATTTTAGGGCACTATTAGAAAAATTCCCCAAGGGTCCTGATAATTCAATTCTCCAAAATAATAAACTATTTAAAAATAAAGTAAAATGGGTAATTTTACTCCCCCTAGGGAAAGTCCCCTTTCAGCCCTGCTCTCTTTAAGATGACAGACAACAAAAGTGAACAAACAGTATTTGAATGTCCCAAGTTTTCAAAGGAGATTCCTGCTCTATTCAACAGAATATTTGAGTATAGTCAAATATTACTATTCCCTTGATGCTGACTGCCCCCATAAAAACTGAAAATAAAAGGCAATCTTCATCAGACACACTGAAATTGAGTTAAGATGATTATAAGGACAAACAAACTATAAAGGCTGATGCTTCATGGATGCTATAAGTCAAGTTTTTCCCTTGTACAAGGGAACCTGCCTAATAAAAAACTTGTTATGCAGTCATTGAGACAATGGAAGATTTGTCCTGAGAGGAAAGAAAGGAATGAAGGAAGGAAGCAAGGAAGGAAAAAAAAAAAGAAAGAAAGAAAGAAAGAAAGAAAGAAAGAAAGAAAGAAAGAAAGAGAAAGAAAGAAAAAGAAAAAGAAAAGGACAGAAGAGAGAGGAAAAAAAGAAACTTTGTTAAAGGGGAAAAAAAGTTCAAGTAGTATTATCTTCTCTAAACCCAAACTTTCCTCATGTTCTGAATGAGACAGCTCCCTGTCCATGAAATGTTTCTTGGCGACTCTTCATGCAACTTTGTAATCACTATGACATATGTTTTAGAAGAGTAAGATTAAGTATGCGTTTTCCAAACCAGCGTCTGGAATTCTACTCATGTGCATCATAGTACCATCTGTCACGTTGCGCTTGCTCAAACAAGCTTCCTCTGAGTGCTGAAGATGAAAAATGGGAGGGTGCTTTTTAGAGAACAAAATATTGATGCCTTCCAGATTGGTGGAAACCATCCAGCCTGAAGGAATAGTTAATCCCACTTAAATTTAATTTTTACATGTAGTAGAGAACTCAGAGTCAGATCTGGGCTAGCTCTGAATGGCATTAAATATCTAGTTGGGATCATTACCTGAACAATATGTATGTGCAAAGGAACATGTACTTTATCTTGTACCATTAATTATCCACGTGTGTTATATCCATTCAACATTACAGGTAAATCAAGTCACTGTTAACTCAAATACATACCACAGGATTTTCGAAAATCTGCCACAGGTCATTATTATAATGGGAAGTATTGTAATTAGCAGTGGATAATAGCCTTCCAAATTCATGTCTGTTAGAAATGTACATGAACACACCCTATGTAGCAAAGAGAATAATATTAGCAATTTTAGATGAAAACAGCAAGGGAATTAATTTAAGCTAGAAAGAAAAACATTTTAAATAAGAATATTTTCCTTTTTTATATTTCATACATGAGCATGCACCTTCATTTTTGTTCAAATGCACACATGATTTAAAATAAACAAAATAATGTCTTATTTTGCTGGTTTTCTTTTTAATCAAACACACACACACAAACAGTCGGCATCATTCACGTGCAATTTTTAAAAAAAAAAACAGAGCTAGAATGGAATGATTTTTCTCCTCTCTCATTGACTTCTAAAACCAGATATCAGAAAGTAAATTCTTGTTTTAATGAACGGTAGCAGCTTGAGAAAGCAGATTGAGAGCGGGCTTTGAAACCAGGACAATTTGAACTCAAAACCTGATACTGGCTTTGTGCAAGTCACATGAGTACTCAGAGCACTAAATGACAACTCTATAAGATTATAAATGACATAAAAGGCACTGACGTGCATTGGTAGGGGACGTTGCCTCTACCAATGAAATCACAGGATCAGTCGCTATCACTTTAAAAAGTATCTTATTAAGAGATCAAAGGCAAATACAGTGCCTGTATCTTTTGTTTCCTCTCTCTTTCAAACTGAACAAATTCTGTGAAAGTAGAAAAAGCATTAAAATGACGATTTATCACATTACACTTTGTTGTTAGATACCTACGAAATCACAGATCATAAGAAAGCAGGCTACCACTACTAGTAGTTAAAAAAGAGTCATACCCTCAAATTAAGTAGAGAATAGTCAATAATCAACTCTTGAGTGTCTATTTGATGAGACATAACTAGAATTACAGTACCAACAAACGGAACTCACGCATGTGTCCCCAACCTCGTTTTAGTCAGATCTCTGATCTATCATAGTCATTCCCTAACTCTTTTAGTTCCAAATAATATCATAAAGGACTGATTTAAATTTAGCTTTCTCTTCCCTCCCCCTTTTTTGTTCAATAATAAACAATAAATAAAAATAAATATATAAATAAATAAAATAAAAATAATAATAAATAATATTGAGCAGGGAACACAAAATTGCCTATCAGACTCCAAATAATCAAGAGTTGACTGTGTCACCAACACATACATAGAGATAATCATGTTAGAGGAAGGTTACCATACAGAATATCAAGGATAAAGCAAATGTTTCTAAAAGATTTTTTTTCTTCTAAGTAACTATTTTTTTCAGCCTCTTAAGGAAATTTGGAAAAATAATTTTCTGTTTCTTGGTACTACATCTTTTCCACGTCTCTATCCCCCCAACTGTCCCAGAATCATAAAAAAGTTTTGTTTTTTGTTTTGTTTTGTTTTTTTAATTTTGGTTGTTATTTTTTTTCTACACAGTGGGGAAAACCAAAATTTTCAAAGACAATTTTAAGGCTGAAAAAAAAGTTAAAATAATATAATGATGGCAGATATGTTAAACTGTGTCCAATTTTCAATCCTTTCCATCAAAATTATGTGGTACAATGTGAAAACATTACAGAAACCAGACTATTAAAATTGTTTTATAATAAAAAAATTTCCTCTTATAAACTAATACAATCTTCCTGCTCTTCTGTCTTGTATGAGCTTCCTTTAACTGCTCCCTGAGCAATCACACAACTGTTACACTTATTTCATTTAGTTCTTCAACAACCTGAGATTCATTGGTGTAGATACACCCTCTACCTATGCAGACAACAGCTCACCTATGACTTAGCAGTCCATCATATGAGTTACTGTAGTCAAGAAAATTTCAAAATCCTGTGGGCACCTACTGGTGATGAGTCTTTATGAACATAACTGGGCCAATCCTCTGCCCAGGCAACTTTAGACCTGTACAAAAACCCTGTCCAGCTTTTTAGAACTTGCTAAACCATGTGCTAAGGCCTAAGAGTCACCTCTGCATCATGATGAGCTATCAAAATAGGATTACGTGGGCATATAGTTGTTCATTTATGTCTGACTCTTCATGAACTCATGGACTATAACATGCCAGGCCCTCCTAACTTCCACTATCTCCCAAAGTCTTTCCAACCTCATATTTGTTTGCTTCCATCTACTGGGCAACCCTCACACACACACACAAAAAGAAATATTAACTCAAACTCAACTAAGAAAACTGTATACCAACAAACCAATTTCAACTCTGCCTAACTCTTTGTAAATTATAATTTTACTGTTTTATTCCATCATTTCTCAATCACTAAAATAACAGACTTTCAGAAAACTACAATCCTCAACAACAATTAAAAAAAAACAGATACATATACTGACTTAAGCTATATAGGCAATCCTGATGTCTTCACAACCATATCAATAAATGATGAACACCATGTCTGACTGTGGAGCTTTCAATAACTAAACCAGACTGTACCAAATGAAACCATATCACACCCGTTCCAAGCTACAGTTGGTTGTAATAGCAATGCCCTGCAAAAGCTGTTGGTAAGTACATTATTGACATGATTTACAGAAGGGGAAAACATGAAAGCAAAGTCATTTGAATTTCTAAACCATAAATACCAAATCAATACTGGATCACTAATGGAAACCCAGTATCCTTAACAACCAGTTCCATACTCCATCAACCTTCTGGACTTTTATAACAGTTCAGTGCAAAAATCAAGTCCCCCCACCCAAATAAACAGTCTAAAACCACAATTTTAAAAAATACGCATATACCAAACTAAGAAGATAGAAGAAAAGAAATTTACTGTAAGACAATATGCTATATCTGACATTAACTAAAGATATAAGAAAATAAAATGACACCTTTGGGGGGCTGAGCATTTGGAATGTTTCCGGAGTAGGGGAGTCTTTTTCCCTTTGTATAGTCTAAAATGAAGGAGAAGCATCGTGTAAGTTGACCTGCCATCCTCTCTCTCAGGTATTCTTAGATAAACAGAAAATAACGGCCTTTGATCAAAAGCTGACATTCTGAAATGTCCCACACGGACAACATGCACTAATAAGCCATGCTCACAACAGGACAGAGACACAACTCCAGCCCCCATTTCTGTTCATATGTGATCACAAAGCTCGTGCTGGAGTAGGGCTTGTTTTTGTTTTGAGGCATGAGGTTAAGAAACAGATGGGAGATGAAAGAGAAGGCCATTCTGTGAAGTGCCGTGAAGTCGGATTAGCTGAATACGAGCACGTGTCGTGCAAAGATTGCAACCGCTTGAGCTAAGAAGATTCAACAAATATCACAATGAATTTGATTTTGTATGAAAAACAAACATAGTAGAACATCACATGCCTTGGTTAAATTTTTTTAAAAAAAGGACTTGCCAACTTTTTTGAAGATTGAAAATATCATTTTATATACTGGGATAAAGTTAAATGGCTCCCAAACTGTCCGACTCAAATGCTACCTCCTGCATGAATCTTTTCTCGGTATCCAGCCAGTGCTTGCCACATAGTAGGTACTTAATAAATGACAGAATGATTGTATCCAGTTGGTAACCATCTTGGGAGTTCTAAGCAGAGGTGAGCTTAACCAATTAGGTATCCACACTAAGTTCAGAATTAATATGGTGAGCCCTGAAGAGAGGGGAGTTCCCTAAGTGGAGTGAATTGGCCCAGGTTGAAAACGAAGCATGTCAAACTCCCAGGTCAATCAGAATGTGATCAGATCAGGAATAGCTCCTGCATTTCCACATTGAATAAGTCAGAGAGACAAAAAAAAAGGCTAAACAATAAAAGCAAACATTTATAAGTGATAAAGAAATATTGTTTCATAGTAATTGTAATGAAATGTGCTGACGTAGAAATAGGAGACAACAGGTCTGGACCAATGACTTGTTTCTATGTCAGCACATTTCATTAGCCTCCAATTTATAAATGGATTGTGTTCCAAAAGTTCCAATTGCCAATCACTTGTTTGGGCCTTGACATACATCTTCCTACTGAAAGAAAATGTTATGAGTGATGGTCAGGTACTCAGGCTAGATAATAAAAGTATGCATAATATTGTTTCTATGGGGAAATGTGTTCTGAATTAAAAAGAAAAGAAAAAGACTTTGCATATGAACTTAAACAACATAATCAACTATTTTGGGGGCTGCCTGTTCAGTTGTACCTCCGTACTGTCCATTATATCAATAGACTGAAAATTCATAAGGAAACCTATATCCCTGCACAGTAAAATTACTGGGGGTATAGTCACAAATATTTCTACTCAGACCAACTATAAATTTTATATTAGACATAACATAATTTTCATGTTACATTTGTGAGCTAGCTACCAGGATATTCAAAACATTTTTTTTCCTTTTGCCAAAAACACTCCAAGTCAGAGCTAGGATTGTTGGGAATTTATCTACCCCAAGTAAGTGGCCAATACAGTAGCTCCACTGTTCAATAAATATTTGTTGAGGAAGACAACTCTATTCTGCCAAAGAAAGGCAATGAAATGCTTAGGGGATCTAGCCAAGGGGATTGCTTGTCACTAAAAGACTTGAGGACTCCTACAGCTCTAGGCATTCTGGTGTATTGCAGTGGCATCAAACTCAAAAAGAAATAGATTCTGGAAGGCCACAGATTGATTATTTAAAATAAACAAATACAATCATTAACATTATCTATGTTGTATTTTTATTTATTTGCTTTGACATTCTCCAGTTACATTTTAATTTGTCTCAATGGCAATGGGGAGTTTTACAGACTGAGTGATGAATTTGACACTTCTGGGTGGAAAGAAGGATGGCTTTAGAATCATGAGAAACCTAGATTTAAAACCGACTTCTGAAGTTCACTGCTTGTGTGGCCATGGGAAAATCACTCAACTCCTTTTGACCCCATCTGCATCTCTAGAAATCAGGATAATAATACTACTCTAGATATACTGCAATATTTATTTTACATGGCTATTACGGGGAGCAAATGAGAAGATGTGTTTAAAAAGCTGTACAAACTTTCAATTGCTGTAAAACTGTCGGTGAGGATGATGATGCCAGCAGCCACTGCACAGTAATAAGGCAAGATTCACTCATTCATTATGATGGCCACTGGCTACCCCAGCAACAGGGTCTTGGCTGTCCATTCAGATACAGGACATTCATGAAGTCAATGCAATAAGCATTTATTAAATACCTACTATGTACAAGAGCACTTATGGTAGGTGCCAAACAAAAAAAAAACAGTCCCTGCTTTCAAGGAACTGACATTCTTCTAGGGGACACAGTTTTCAAACACTTTAATAAATGCAGGATCATTTGAGGAAGCAGAAGGAACTAGCAACCCAAGAGGAATAGAAAAGACTTGCGGGAGGAGGTGGCACCTGAGTTGAATTTTGAGGAAAACTGAGGATTTTAAGGGGCAGAGATGAGGAGAACGACATTCCAGGGATAAGGGACAACCTGTGGAAAAGCAATGAGGCCAGAGATGTAACAGCACATTCAAGGAATTAGATAACCTGGAACTGTCTGCCCTGGAACTATTACTGATATATTACTCCAACCCATTTCTATTATTTTTCTCTTTGGGATTAAAAGAGAAAAATTTTATCCTTAAAAAATAATTTGCCAAAATCATTCTGTTTCTCTAGAAAGATATTTCAAAAAAATTGGCCAGTACTCATAAGTAGAAAGACACACATACAATTCAAACATGATAACAAACCAGAAGAGCAACAGAGAAAAAAGCTAAGTGCCGTCGTGCACCTTACCATTTCCCTTGCATTTCGGCAAAGGGCCATATCAGGGTCCAATTTATCACGAATAAAATAGTTCCTTTCATTCATCTCGGAGCGAAGAGTCTGCCCTTTAATCAAGTACACATTAGCCATGTATGGGATATTCCATACCCCTCTATGAAAGTAAACAGGAGACATTCTTTAAGATCACAAATGCAAAACATTCCAGGATGTATTTCAACTATTTGTACTGACAATATCAAAGCTTTCACGTGTTAATGAAGTCATTAGAATCCTAGATTCAGAGCAGAAACTTCAGAAGGCACTGGCTTCAATTTGACGATAAAGAGACTGAGGCATGGAGAAGTTGTGACTTGCTCTGTAGGTCATTTAGGTTTTGGAAATTAGGATTTCAATCCAGTTCTTGGACTTCAGAGTCAATTCTTGCTTCCACCATATCACCAAAAGGACCCAATAAAATACTCACTGATATTTTACAATAAGTTAAAAACAGAAAACATCAACTGCAGGCCTCCTGGAGAAATTCCAGTTTGGAATTCCTACCTGGCAGCTTGAATAAATAACACACCTCGCTTATCCCTTAAAGTATGCACACTGAAACATTGTACGGAAGAGAACGTGTTTTTCGGCAAGTATGTGAGGCACTCTCTGGGCAGAAGGAATGAGCCACGCCATACAACATGCTCAGCCTACCCCAGGGTTAGAATTTGTAATGACAAGAGAATTTAATTTGCATTGTCTTCTGCTATCCTTTCTAGCTCCCTCTATGTTTAGACCATTGAGTGAGGTACAAGGACAGGAAAGCCTCTGTCTTCGAAAGGTTGTGACTCATGCTTTGGTGAGCAAGAATGGAAGAGTTTCACTTTCCCGAGGTTCATTTCAATGTCATTTTCTCCATGAAGCCTTCTTTGACTTCCCCCAGCTGGAAGCAAATCCACCTTCCTGGAGTCTTTCATGCATTTCTGTTTAACCTCTCCTATGCACTTACAATTTTCATTATGGTTATTTGTGCGTATTTGTATATATGGAAAAGCAGTTCAGCACAGCAAAGTGGATAAAAGGCAGGCCTCCAAGCCAGGACAACCTGGGTTAGAGTCTCACCTTCAGCACAATCACACTAGCTGTGTGACTGGGCAAACTGCAGCTTTCTAAGAATATAAGTTACAGGGTAAGTTCATTCTCTGTAAAGAGCACATTCAACATTTTATAATCCAAATATAGGCTGCTGAATAATGTATCTTCTAATGACAATATTGTTGTTGCATTGGACTGCATTTCTACTCAATAATATTTTTAAACTCTATTACTGAATCTATCAACTGGCATAATCTACATTAAATGCTCTGACTGAATAAAGGGACCAGATGCCTTGATACTTCAAGGGACCTTTGATATCAATCACAATGACATGGATACTCTCTCCAACTGTGTTGATCCTAACCCATTGAGGCTTTCTTGTTCTTTACAGCTGTCCCTCCTTACTCTATCACTATCTATGTAAACCAGAAATGGGCCATACAGAGTAGAGAGTCAATGGAAATGAACCCCATAGAAGGAAAGGTCAACGAAAAAGAGCCACATGGGGTAGAGGGCCGATGGAAACAGGTCATATATGCCTGAGAACCATTTTGGTTTTTATCTTTATCTTAGAGGTTGCCATGTTCAGTAATAATCCTTAGAGACCAGCCTACTGATGTAAGACTTTCCATACTTATCTAGAAAGTAGAAATAATTTATTGCCTAGATTGTGGTCATAATATTTCCAACATGGCTGAAGCAAGCTTCTTGAGAGTGAAGTCAGTGAATTTCATGACAGGAAAAATCAGCAGATTAAGGCTTTCTGGTGGTAAAGAATTGTACATTAAAAAAAAATCTCACAATGTATATTTTAAAATCTTACAACTGGATTGAAAAAAAGTAATCATTGTAAGAATATGTAATAATTCAACTTAAATAAAATTGATGACTTGACAGCACAATATCTTTGTTGTGCTAATACTATTCTCCAATGTGGATTTTGGATATGAAATATTATTTTTATTAATTATATCAAGGTCATTAATCAAAAAAATTTTCTGTCCCTGCATCAAGGAGCAAAGACAAAATAAAACAAACAGAGTTGGGGCCTAAAACAATTTAAATGCAAATTTGACCTCTCTGCTCTAGGTTCCTATAGCTATGAACTTCTAGTCCTGCTACTACGCACTGCTCACATCAGGCTGCAGCTTATAAAAGCAATACCAGGGTCAACAAAAAATTACTTAATATTACAATGAAGTGGAATCTTCATGTTAGACTGCTGGCACCAGCCAGTTTTCCAAGGATGGCTTTCAAAAGGACTTTTTATAACACTCATATTTATTTCAGTGCAAACCTTTAATACTAAGTTATACTTTTCTACACTGAGAGAAGGCAAAACACATAAAAAGGGAGGTAACATGACACAACAGAAAGAACTCTGGATTCAAAGTCAAAAGACCTGGGTTTGAATCCTGGTATTGCCACTTATTACCAGGGTGACCTTGGGCAAGTCCTTTAACCTCCCGAAATTTTTACAGTTACTTCCTCAGTTTGTTCATCTGTAAAATGAGGGCAGTGAACAAGATGACCTCTCTCTTTAAACCTTTTGTTGTTCACTCATTTTCAGTTGTGTCAACTCTTTGTGACTGCATTCAAGATTTTCTTGGGAAAGACACTGGAGTGATTTACCATTTCCTTCTTCAGCTCATTTTACAGATGAGGAAATTGAGGCAATCAGGGTTAAGTGACTTACCCAAGGTCACACAGCTAGTAAAGTGTCTGAGCCCAGAGTTTAACTCAGAAAAATGGGTTTTCCTGACTCCAGGCCAGGCACTGTACCCATTGTACCACCTAGTTGTCCACCTTTAAACCTAGGATCCTATAATTTTAACTGTTCCATTGTATAGGGAAAAAAACCAATATGAATTTCTTTATAATTGTGGAATTTTGTGCTTTTCTTTCTAAGCAGGGCTGAAATGATTGTGAGAATTCAGGTAGCTAATTTAATTTTATTCATTTATTTCCTTAACTTATGTTCACACTAAATAAAAGTTTAAAAAGCAAAATAAAAAATAGAATTTAATGTGTAAATGCTTCTGAGAAGAAAAACACATGGGAAACGAATTTTCTAAACTCTTTAAATGCAGTCACTCATATTTACATAGTAAGGATCTAATTTCTTATACCTATAAATTCAGATACTAAAGCACTCACCACACAAACATGAGTTGTTATCATCATCATCATTCATTAAAAATATAATGGGCAGCCTGGCATACCAATGAAATCACAGCTTGCATCTCTATCCCTATCAAACTTTGAGGAATTTAGCTTTTTAAGGAAAGCATTTTACAGATTTCCAATAACACACTACATATATATAGGATATTTTTTGAATGAGTTGGCATAGTGGATAGTGTACTGGCCTTGTAGTTAGGAAAGAGTTGAGTTCAAATTCTGTCTTAGCCACTTAGCAGTTGTATGACCCTGAGCAAATCACCTAACTTTTCTGAGCCTCTATTTCCTCAAATGTAAAAGAGAAATAATAACAGACCCTACTCTACAGAACTTTTGTGAGAATCAAGAGTGAGTATATGTAAAGTGCTTTGCAAAACTTAAAGCAATATATGCATTTTGGCTACGACTATCACCATCTCCCGTAAGATATTCTAATCAACCTTAGATCCCTTGTCTAAATCTGAGAAAATAATCTGAGCAAATACTAATTATGGAGCACTTTATAATTGTTTAGCGCTTTTCATGCACTGCCTGAAACACCAGTCAATAGAGTCTGAAAGTTTTACAATATCTATTCTAAGGAATAATATTCTATTCATTATTATTTTTTTCTAAACAAAATTCTGAGCATCAATACTTTAGAAAAGCAACAGTAAGAAGATCAATGATAAGGTCATATTCAGCAATGGGATATAGGAGCTTCCAGAAGGTCAGAAGCTGTCCATTTATCCATAAAGCATGAAAACTTTTTGAAACATTTTCTAATTAAAAACCATTCTTATATGCAGATCCTTTGATATTGGTATTTAATGTTAATAATTAAATGATTCAACTTACACTCTGCTGCCTTGGACAATGTCTACATAATCTTCAGATCGAGCATAATACCCGTCAGGACTTAGCGCTCCCCAAAAGTTGGACCATAGCTTTCCATGCCGAGTTACAAGAGGGGCAATGATTTTTCTGGAGAGAGGGGGAAAAAAAGTTAATATAACATTTAATTCTTTTAAAACTACAATATTTAAAATCTATCTTGTATATATCCGTGAGCACGTAATTCTGTACAGGCTGCATTTCTTGAAGTAGAAAGGTATGTCCCTGGAGGACTTGGCAATCACCATTGATTGAAAATGGAAGGAATCTTCCAGGTCATCCAGTTTAACGTTTCCATTTTGCAAAAGCGGAAACTGAGGACCAGAGACGTTAAGAGACTTACCTAAGGTTAAACTGTAGTGGTTAATAACAGAGTGAACCCAGGATCTTTTGTTCTATATCCAGGACTATTTCCATTACCTCACGATTCATGTACATTAGTGTACATTATCTGATGTGCTTTTATTTCAGTATATCAAAAGTTCAATTATTTCATGAGCATAAACTCCTTTTATCAGTACAATTACAAATCATCTCTGCCTTCATGAATTTTCTTCATAAGCTGCTGCATCCAAGAAAATTCATTGCCTGATGGCCAACTTCTATTGGCAAATCTCTAAAATTAGTCATAGAGCAGCAGGCCATACTTGAAATTTTTCCATCTATATATGAGCTTAGCAGAATGCCTGGCACATAGTAGGTGCCTAATAAACACTTGTTTATTTGACTTAACTAGTGTTCCACAGGCATATCCTTGGGGAACTCAGCATCCTTGCCACACTATGATGAGGGAGACTCTCAGAGAGTCTAATCTGAGCCCAATTCCAATCCCTTAGAAGCAGGGTCTCTGTGCACACATATATGGCATTTCTTTATGATCTCAAAATGTAAGTCACTTGATAAAGAAATACAATAAGTCCTAATTATGTGCCAGGTCCTATGCAAAGTCCTGAGCATACAGAGAAAGGCACAAACAGCCCCTAGCCTCAAAGAGCTTACATTCTGATGAAGGAGAAAATGTGTAAATAAGTAGGTACAGATGAGACATATTTGTAATAGATGGGAGGAAACCTCAGCGGGGTAGGCACCAGCATCTGGGTGAAGGAGGATGAGAAAGGTCTCCCTTGAGATGGGGTTTGAAGCTAAGGGAACAAAGAGGCAGAAACGAGGACAGGAAGCACTCCAGAAACTAATGTGAAGATCTAGGTGATTAAAACCAAGCTTAAATTAAGCAATCTCTCTCTCTTTTTTTTCACAAGGATAATATTTATTCTGGACTTTGTATAAACTGCGCCCCCCCTACCCCCACCATGCCCTGCCCACACATCCAAATGGCAATCAGCCCCTCCCCACCCCATATCTCTCCCAAACCACCTCCCCCTTCCCTATTTAGATTCCAAGATGGTGGTGGTAGTGGTGGTGGTTATGGTGGTGATCAGGGTGAGTGGGAATGAGCCTCATTTCCTACAGATTCAGACATGGTAAATAATCTCTTGCATCTCTTAAATGCAAGAGAAGTTCTTTAGCCCTTCCATGAATCAGATAAGAAGGCGCAAGAAGTGACCACAAGTTTGATTTGGGTCCTCGTACTACAGCCCTAACTTTGCCCAATTCAAACCACGTCTAGGGAAAACAACAGCAAGGAAATAATAGTTCTATATCATCCCCACACAAATATCTGGTATGTGAAAAGAAAAAAAAAGCTCTTCCCATCAATATGAAGGCCAGAAACCTGCCATAGAAAGGAGGACAAATGGGGCAGCTAGGTGGTGCATTGGATGGGTCCTAGAGTTAGGAAGACCCAAGTTCAAATCTGGTCTCAGATACTTACTAGCTGTATGACCCTAGGCAAGTCATTTAACCCCAGCGAATGAAGGAAGAAAGTGGGAGAAGAAACCCCAACTTGCTTTAGAAAGCTGTTTATAGTGCAAGTGAGGAAATCCCCCATCTTGGAAATCCAGTTTCTGAACAAGGGCTCCATTGTGTGGGTGTGGGATTAGTATTTTTCCAAACTGATTAGGACCTCCCCCTCAACCTGAGCTTAGTGTATTCTTCACCTCAGTTGAGCAGAGAATAACTCCTTTATGGAAGTTCATTTGAAACACAACTCCATTTCCAGGGTTTCTCAGTCACACATGTAAGTGACTAAGGCCAGGGGTACAAGGATCCTTTGTTAAGAAAGTAATATAAATATTTGTTTTCCAAGTAGCAGAATTTGCAAGAAATAACAATTGATGACAGAAACCTACACTATTTCTTTAGTTATTGCAGATAAATGAAAGGGGAATAATCACAAATGAGTCAAATCTTTGCTTAGGGAACAGAGACTAAATTGCAAATTCTGCCCAGCTTTCAAAAATCATACCTGACTCTCAAGCAAATTTAAAAAGCATTAACCATTTTAGGAAATGTCTTTGAAAGATTCCCAATGTGAGAAAAAAAAAAGTCGTTAGCTGAAGAGCAGAATAAAACTCCTTGTAATTCAAAACTCATTCTTGTAAAGAAGCATTCAACTTCCCAATTCTTAAACAAACCAGCTATTCATCAAATAAAAAGACTACACAAACTGTAAAAATAAATATCTGGAGGCATTTCAATAAGATTTTTCTGTTGGCAGGCAACCTGTTTTTTCTTCCCCAAAAGAAGTGGTTAAGACAATAAACATCAGAACAATTAGGTTGGGCAGGAGGGGAGAAATCTTCACATTCCAATTTATTTTATTTAACAATAAAGACCAATTAAAATAATGGGGTTCTCTAGATCAAAAACTATAGATGCAAACATAATCACATTAATTTAAAACAATAACACCAACAAATTAAAGAATAACTTTTAAAATAGGATTAAAAATAAAGCTGTACTCAGGTTTTCTAAGTTAATAACAGTGTGCTTTTACCAATGGCCATTATTAAATAAAATCAGAAATAAACTCTGCATGTAACTTTGGGCATGGCTGATGTATTGCTTAGTTTTGAATGTTGGATTGATGAAGTCAAATATCTATTGAAGTATTTCATAATTATTTATTTTACTCTCTCTTCCTCCTTCAACCAGCTGCTGTCAAATCCTATCAATCCATCCTCTGTAATCTTTCACATAGACTCCTCCTTTTCTCTGCTGACATCACTATAGCTTAAATTCTCATTTTATTGAGTCTATTATTTTGATTTTATTTGGGGGGTGGGGCTGGATTATTGCAATGGTATCTTAACTGATCTCTACCTAGAATCATTTCTTTACCCAATAAAGATCCTAAATGCACAATACCAGATTTGCCAACCTCATGCTCCAACACCATATGTGGTTACCATGCTGCCTCATTATATTAGGGTCATGTTCCTTAGCCTATCAGCGAAGGCTTTCCACAATCTCCTTTTTCTTCTTTGCCTCACAGTCCCTAACTTTCTCTATCTCATGCTTTAGCCCAACTGGTCTACACTTTTTTGTTGAACAAATCCTGTACCATGACTTTGTTCAGGTATTTCCTTTACCTAGACTGTAATTCTCACCCCCATATCAACAGACTCTATTTTCTGCTATTAAAATCCTATCCATACTTCAAGACCCATTCAAATACCACTTACCCCATAAATTCCATGAAGCCTCCTCTGATGATTTTAGCCAGAAGTTATTTGATCCCTCACTAAACTCTCATAGTATTCTGTTCATACCTCTCAGGCAGTTATCAAGCTGTAATTTGCATTATATTTATTGCTATAAATACCTCATATCTCCTATTTGGAAGATTCTTCGTCTTTGTAGCCCCTCTACCACCATCTCTTCCTGCTCCCCATTGCAACCGTGAAGCTCCATCCCTGTGTCCCCTGGCTCTGACAGGTTAGTTTTGCACTTATTTAGCTGGGGTCAAGGCCACAACAATACTCCATAGAGACCTCCATGCCACTGAGAGGATACCCTCCCATTTCCAACTGCCTTTCATGTGTTGTCTTCCATTCCTCCCATTCATGAGAACACTAGCTCCTTAAGGGCAAAAATTTACTTGCCTGCTTCCTGGACAGTGCCTGGTACACTGTGTTTAATAAATTATCCATCCATCCATCCATCTATCTATCTATCTATCTATCTACCTATCTATCTATCTATCTTTGGCGCATAACACAATATTTTATAAATAATAGGTACTAACTAAATGTTTATTGAATGAAGGATACAAGATAGAGAAGGAATGACTAGATAAGTTTTGATCTGAAAAAGGATCTGGGCTCATTGAGGATAGGGGCCATGTTGTATTCATCTCTGCATCTCCTTCAGGGCTTAGCACAATGCCTTCTACATACTAAGTACTAAATATATTTTTTGAATGAATAATTAATTAGTAGTGACAACTGGCTTTCTAAAGATGCATTCACCCAAAAACTTTGGTCGCAAATTACAGAATTTCAGATTTGGAACAAATCACAGGAAAAAAAAAATGTATACCCAATCATTCCCTTGAATACTTATTATAAAAAGAAAATGACTACCTCCTGAGGCAGCACATTCCTTCTGGAGATCTCTAATTACAGATACTGTGAGAAGTACTCTTGACATCAAACCTCAAACTGTCTCTCTCTAGTTTCCATCTAATGGCCCTCTGAGTCCAAGCAAACAAATTTAATTTGTCTTCCACATCACAGCCTTCAAATAATTAAAGATAACTGTCATGTCCCACACAATTATGTTTCCTCCAGACTATAAATTCTGTGTGCTCCAATGGTCCTCATGACCCTAAGCCATTGCAACATCCTGCTTGCCCTCCTGTGGATGTTGTTTATATTATCAATGTCCTGCATAAAACTAAATTAAATACAATACTACCAAGGCTGTCTAACCATGGTATCCTACTTCTCTCAATCTGGACATTGTATTTCTCTTAATGTAGTTGAATATGCCAGCTTTTTTCTGGCTGCTATATCAATCCTTATTCATGAAGCTTGCAGTCCACTAAATATCCCAGATTTCTTCATATGAATGGCAGTCTAGCCATTCTTCCTACACCTGGTGTTTGTGAAGTTGATTTTTTGAACCTTGTTGTAAGACTTTACATCCAAATTTCAAATTCCATTTTATTTCAGTTACCTACATATTTGAAATTATAAAGATCTTTTGGTATCCAGAATAATCACCTAATATGTTAGCTATTCTTTTCACCTTTATGACCCGGCATATTTGATAAGCATGCTATCTATGCCTTTATGTAAGACATGAATATAAATGTAAATAGCAACTAGACAACAACTGATCTCTGTGATTCATTGGGCTCCACTTATTAAAATTATCTTCAGCAATGGTCCACCACTTAACGAGATAAAATGGAGACTATTTTCCCTTTACAAAAATAGTCATGTTTAGTTATTTTATACAGAACAGAATAGAATGGAAGGGAACAATCATTTATTAAGCATTTACTATATGCCAGACACTGAGCAAAGTGCTTTACAAATATTGTCAAACAGCTGTGTGAGACAGGTGATCTATTATCATCTCCCTTTTATAAACTGAGGCAAACAATGGTTAAATGACTTGCCCAGGGTCACACAGCTAGGATTCCTGACTCCAGGCCCAGCTCTATATCCACTATTGCATCATCCAGATGCCTAGATAAACAAACATATAATCAATCAATATAAACATACCTAAACAATCAAACAAATAATAACAATGATCTAAAAGCCAGTATGTTTCTAGTGTTTTAAGGTTTACAAAGTGCTTTACATGCATAAAACTGCTAATCTCATAAGAAGTGCTCAATAAATATTTATCATTACTCTGACTGATCAAGTATTTACCACGGTAACCATAAAGTAAATTGTCTAAATGTCTTTAAAGTAATAAAAACAAAAAGGCATACTATGGAAAATATGAACCTTGGTTAATATCTACATGAGATTAATTGTGCAAAAGTAGATAAAATACTCTACATATATAGTCAAATTCCTCAAAGCATCTCAATAACATAGCTCATTTGTTACCTTTAGGTTGTGAGACTATACATAATAATCAAAGCTTTATTTTTTAGTTGACTTTCTTTGTATCCTCAAGGCTTATCACGTGCCTGGCACATAGTAGGCAACTGTTTGTTGATTTATTCCCTCTATAGTCAAACATGGCTTTAGACATGGCTTAGACCCAATAACTGCATCAGATGGATGTGTACCCTCAAAATATCAGCCATAAGCTCTCAACCTGTCAAATTTAAATAAATTCCTTCCTGGAAATACCAAGGACTCAACTAACCAAGCTCACACGTTCCCAGATCCCATTTTGTAGTCTTTAGACTAAATGCAGAGACCATTCCCCACAACTGGAATCCACTCTCTCTCTCTCTATCACTTTGCCTGTTGAAATCCCTGCCTTACTTTAAGTTTCAATTTGAATGGCACTTCCTTCATGAAGTTTCCCTTTCATAACCCTTTCCACAAGCTGATAGGTTCACGCTTCCTTCAAATTTCTTATACTTATATCTTAATTATTTGTATGCATTTCCCCCATTAGACTGCAAGTGCTCTGTGAAGAGTGTCAATACCATATGTAACTCTGCAAAACCTGGCATAGTGCCTTGCAAATATTAATCATTTGATAAATATCTGTTGAACTAAATATACTGATTAAGCACATGATATATGGTTTTACATCTCAAAGAGAATTGTACATGAGGATGATCTTTGGAATAAGGGTCCTAAGGAATCTTACTGAGTACCTGTTTTGTTCTATCAATATCTTCAAAGTCTTTGGATTTGTCAGAACAACGTCTGCATCAAGACTAAAGTAATAATCACACTTGTCATCTTGACGACAGAGATCCCTGAAACAAACAAAAATATTGCAGTCAGTTAGAATTGCTATAGGACAGTTGAATCATTTCTAAATAAAAAAGCTTTAGTATTATACTAATATACTATATATAATATACTAATACCATAAATATAATTAGCTTTCTATAAAGTGCTCTTCATTTTTTAAGCTAATCTAAGATAGCCCATCAAAACTTCGAAAGAAACACCAACTCTTAGAATGTTTGTTATTGATTTTATATGCTGTATACTTGGTCCTTGCAGTTAGTTTAATGATAGCTAGCATTTATATAGTGCTTAGAGAATAAGAAGGTGCTTTCTGTGTTACCTCGCAACAATTCTGGGAGTTAAGTGCTATTATTATCTCCATGTTACAGATGAGGAAACTCTGGCACACCAAAATTAAGTTACTTGCCCAGGGTCACACAGTTAGTAAATGTCCAAAGTAGGACTGGAGCTCATGTCTTCCTGGCTCTAATTCCCACGCTCTAACCACTGCAGATACAAACAACCACTTTTGGACAAAGAGTATATTCACAATACCTCTCTCTCTCTCTCTCTCTCTCTCTCTCTCTCTCTCTATCTCTCTCTCTATCTCTCTGAAACATTGTGTTATATAAATGCTAGATATTATTGTTCTTGGGGCCATAGTGGCACATAGAGCTCTGGGCCTAGAGACTGGAACACTTTTCTCGAGTTCAAATCTGGCCTCCTATACTTACTAGCCCCATGACTCTGGGCAAGTCACTCAACCCTGCTTGCCTCAGTTTCCTGATCTATAAAATAAACTGGAGAAGGGAGTAGTGAACCACTCCAGTATCTTTGCCAAGAAAATCTCAAATGGGAATCACAAAGAGATGGACATGTCTGAACAACATTACTGTTGTTATTATGTCATACATATCCAGTTAGAATGTCACCTTAGTTCTGTCCTAAACTCCAACCATAATTAAAATACAACATCATATAACTCGCTAATAGATGAAAATTTGCTCTACCACTTTTTGAATAATTTGTTTTATGAACAAAAACGCTTTTTGGAGTTTGTTGGGGATTTTTTGTTTGTTTTTTAAAACTGTAAAACTATTCCCTTACAAAAATTATGTATGTATACGTTATATATGCGCATAGTGTGTGTGTGTGTGTGTATGCACACACACCCATATATGCACACACACACAGTACCAGCTAAATAGAGATGAAGGTGTTTCTTTTTTTTCTCCCCCTGTAATTATAATTAATTCCTTTAAATGTCCAAATCTTGTTTTTTTAATTTAAACAATTTCCTACGTAAAGATCATCCTAAGACACTTCACAGAATATACTGAATATAACAATTCAGGATCATCATTAGGAAAATAAATTCTTGTACTTTACAAATGATGCTTTCAGAACCTTATTGAAATGGAGAGGGTCATTTGTTACTAGACTCACTGGCCCCATCCTCCAGTGCTCTGTGTTCTTATACAGGCTTTATTAAGCTTTTCAGTCTCCTTCCTCACTGTCAGACTGCCAGGTGTTCCTTCTAGAGGCTATAGGTAAGTCTACCTCTATAATACCTCCTGCTTCTGTCCTCCTCTCTACAGTAATTTGCTATTGAGCATCTGCTAAGGCCACAAAGCCAGGCAACAAAGGATGTAACAAATGTATGTAAAATGTAAAATAAAGGTTATCAGATAGGAAGTGGATTTCCTTTGAATTATATGTGCATTAACTTTGGGACACCTTGAGCCCTTGCAGCTGCTCAAAAAATATGTGCTTTTTATTAGTTGCTGGTTTTAGTCTAGAGAGCTGAAGTTGTGGAATAAGTGAAATCCAGGTAAGGAAGGAATTACTACTACATGTTTGCATTTGTCTAGTTATTTCTATTTTTACTATTAGCAAATACGTAATTTTTTGACTAGTATACTCTGCAATTAAACCACTTTTCTATTCCTCATTCAAATCTGCACATTTATTTTTAGGGTCTTCAAAGAAATAACAAATGATCTCACGTTTAAACAGGTTAAATCTAAACTAGCCAAAAAAAAAAAATCACAAATTAGCATCATTCATAGCCTTCTGAAATATTACCATATCAGAGCTGAATAGAACTGTAATATTTATTTCTGTAAAAAGATCATTATTTTCTCTAAGTTCTTTGGTTATTCTTTTGTACAAATAAATTGTAAAATTTGTAAAACATACATCCCCATATTTCTGGCTTCTGCTTGACTTAGGTTTTCCTCTGGACCAACAATTTTTATATTCTTGATCACATCTTTAGCTTTTTCCCAAAATTCCTTGATGTGCTTTTCATGATAAACCTCCTGTAACATATTAATAAAACTTAGAATTTGGATGTTTTTTATGACAGACCTCCTGTAAAATATTAATAAAATTTAGAATTAGAGAAAATGACACCAAAGAAGGGAGGTGAGGGGACATTAATGGGTTTTGAAATGCTATTTATGCAACACGCCTTGCTTTGCCAAGGATTCTTATAGCAAAATAATATTCATTTAGTAAATGTTGCATTTTACTATTGTTCAAATATAACAGGTGTTCACTGAGAAATATGCATTTGAGCATTATTTGAAAAAGAGACCATTTTAAAACTTTCAATTACAAACTTCCCCCAGGTATAAAGATTTGGATTATAAGCTTAATAAATCAAAAGAAAGGAAAAATGCCTTCAAAGTATGTTCTAGAACACATTCTGGAATACTAGAAACATACTACAAAATATCTAAAAAGCTGAAAATATAAAACACACATAATATCATTATCTTCATCAAATTCTGAGGCAATAATATTGGCTTTTTTCCATTTGTATCCAACATAAAAATAGACATTTTATCACTAATATTTTGATGATAAGCACAGAGATAATTTGCAACATCTGATATGTTAGCAACTGTGTTAGTGGCCAATTATTACCAGCTTCATTGCAACATGGAAGCTGTTAAGTGTGTCATAAAAAAAAAAATCTCTGAACCAACTCAGTCATGATTTGAATTAACATGTCTTTTGTAATGAAGATATCCCAGACCCTAAAAAACAAAAAACAAAAAAACAAACAAAAAAAAATACATATATATAGTGCATTTATCTTGTAATTACTGAAGAGATGGGATCATATATTTTATCTTTATCCACAGCCCACAGACAAAAGAAAATAAATTTTCACAGCATAACAAATGCCACATTGGGCCAGGCTAATGGTTCCTTCCGCCAAGTACCCTATCTCTGACTAGTGAACTGAGGAACTTCTTGGATACAGGACATTTTCCCTCAGAGATGTCAACACAAATGTTAGCCCTAGTATCCCAAGACTCTTTTAAACTCACAAGTTGTTGTATTACTTGTAAAAATGCACTAACCAATGAATCTCTTTCCAGGCTGTACCACAATCTGGATATAATGAATTTCAGAAGTTTACTAGTCCTTGCATACTGAAATTCTTTTTCAAGCTTCAGGAGTCTTCCTTAGTTCAGATTCTCCAGGATTCTATTGATTTATCCAAGTTCACCCTATCCATGATAGAGTTGCACCCATCATAGAGTTACAATTTTTTTTTAATGTTATCACTTAGTCTCTGCTTTACCAGAGTGAGAAATCTCATTTTCCCCCTGAATATCTCAGTGATTTTAAAGCATCATTTCTTGTGTTTAACCCATTACTGACTGTCTGTCCTTCTGAAGACTGCCCACCCCCTCCCCAATAGAACTCACCATCCAAATTCTTACACTGGGGGCAGTTAGGTGGCACAGGGGATAGAGCACCAGCCCTGGAGTCAGGAGGACCTAAGTTCAAATCCGGCGTCAGACACATAAAACTAATGAGCTGTGTAACTCTGGGCAAGTCACTTAACCCCAATTGCCTTGCCAAAAAAATAAATAAAAAATAAAATAAAAAATACCAAATACTTACACTATTATGAATGAAGAATTTAAGAGCTTCTTTGGGGTAATCCAGTGTCAACAACAGGTCTAGAAATCGAGGTAGGAAAGGAGTTGGCTGCTGAATGAAAACACCAACTGTTACCTTTGGATAGTCCTAGAAAAAAGCAGTAAAATGAACCTTTATTCAAGCAGGCTCCAATTTAGGCTGAATTCAAGTGTTGATTAGATAGGGAAATGCTGCTCTACAGCCTAATAGAACAAAAAGGAAAGGGAATTGACAACATGTCAAGAAACACACACACACACACTTATCTTCACTATGGCATGATTTGCAAAGTGTGCAAATCAGTATATGTTAATTCAATCTTGAATTTTATTCAGAGTGGTTTTCCACCTATTGTCACTAATTAAACCTAATGTTAAATGTAAGAATGAACCCTTGACTTTCCCCTTTATACCAATAAAAAGAGTGGGAAGGGGGAAAGGGGAAATCACATTATTTGTACAATATGAACTAATTTTTTAAAGTAAAAAAACTTCCCTTTTAACATCAGAAACTTAGATTGTAAGGTATTAAAAATTAAAGGAATCAGAGACCATTCAAATCTAGCACCTTCTTTAAAAGTGAAGAAACTGAGGCCTAAGGAAGGCAAGTGATCACACGGATATAAAGTAGGAGCACTGGCATGCTCCTTCTGCTGCTGATGGAACCACATTGGTGCAGTTACTAAGCTCCTCTCAAAGTAAATGAAGGCACTTGATTTTATGGTGTGTACCTAACATACTTCGGTAGTTAGACCAATCTTTGTAATTAAATTGGCCACATTATTTAAAGGTGACTAGAATACTCAAGTCATAATAAATATATATATGTATATGTGTGTATGTATGTATAGATATGCATGTATAAGTATAAGCACACATATACATATATACACATGTGTGTACACATAAACACGCACACACACTGAGAAAAAGAGACAGAGAAAGAAAGAGAGACAGAGAGATGGATCCCTAAGAGCTTTAAATCTTAAACAGATTACATTGATGCAAAACAGTTCCCAAGAATAATCTTAAAAGGAGACTAGAAGGCTAAACACATATGATTACTCTAAATAGTTATTTAAAATACTGAATTTAGTTGATAATGACAACAATAACAAAAATAAGATCACAATAACAACAATAATAGCCATAATAACAATTAGCTAGTCTTTATATGGCATTTAAAGATTTGCAAAGAGCTTTACAAATATTATCTTATTTTATCCTCATGATAATCCTGGGAGGTAGGTGCTATTATTATCCCCATTTTATAGGTGAGGAAAGGCATGCAGACAGAGGTTAAGTGATTTGCTCAGGGTCACACAGCTAGGAAATGTCTGAAGTGGATTAGAATTCAGGTCTTCTTGACTCCAAACCCAGGACTAGTTATATTAACTTTGAGATGATGATTTTAATGATTTAATATTGCTTATTACTTTGATTTTCCAATGTTATTTTTAAACTGCTCTGAGATTATACTTGTTTTAAGAATCAAGGGATTTTCATCTGGATAAAGTAGAAAGGAAACAATTTTATTTTTAATTCCTACCTGAGACAGTTAAAATAAATAAGAATGAAACAAGTAAGAGCAATAACTGTCTTTTATAAGGGTAGAACATTAAGTTCTGCAAAAAATATCATTTTAAAACATCTCTTCATCATATCTCTATCCAGAAATATTCTGGCATTCTTTCTGGGTAGGAAATACTCTGTTCTTTGAGAAATTGTCCAAAATGTCTTATTTTCAAATAAAACATGGCCCTGTTCAGTAGCTCTTAAATGTTCACAACTTATTTTTTTGTCTACCTTTAGACGTCAGTAAAAATATAACCATTTACTCTTGGAATCCTGACTTTATTACAGTTATTTTTTTTCCTCTTGAATAATTCCTCACTGATGAGGCCAGCAGTTTTTAGAACTGCATTCCTGTAAATTTCCATGACTTTATAACATTTCTACCATATACTCCTCATGGAAGTTGGTACTCTTCCAGGTCATCAGAGAGATTTGCTCAAGGCAAAACTTTGTTATATTATATCCTGAAAGCTCTTCACTGCCCTGGATCACAATGGTATTATATCTGAAGAAAAAAAATTGTATGAATAAACAATAACTTTCTAGAAGGTTGCCTATTCATTTGAAATATTGGCTGCCCAAAAAATAAATGTAACTAAATGTCCATAGGGAAAATCTTTCTAAAAATCTACAAAGGAATAATATTTGATTTAAAAAATGATCCTAAGTGGTTATTACACCTTTTCTTTTCTCTTAATAACTGTGATCAACATGACAGGTAACTAACACAATATTAACTTGAAGCAAACAGCCAAGCTCATGTTGGAGCTGTGGTATCTCAGCCAAACTTGTGAAATAGTTCAGATGGAAACAATAGCTAGACCTACAAGAAACTCACATCTTTAAAGTCTAGAAAACCTATATGAGAAATTAATTATTTCTCTTATATTTAATAATTAATTGTTGAATCAGTACTAAGTTTTGGGGTTTTTTTTCCCTCTTTTATACTTCCTCATCTAAAAATCAACCAGTGTAGGAAATCTCTCTTAAAGATCACCCAGGCCAAGATCTAATCAGACAGCTAAAGGAATTCTAATTTTAGGCTAATAGGTGCATTGTTGCTCCTTGTGTTTCCCCAGACAGATCTGGAAAGTGTGGATTCTCCCTTTTGTCAGACAGGTGATATGGAAATTGATAGGTCTCCTTCAGTCAAGATTGGGGAGATCCAAGACACCTAACCTAAGACTCTCATTTTAATATATAGCCCACCTCCCATTATATTATTCATTCTCTTGTTGACCAATTAGAGTTCATTTGCACCCTCAGTTGATTTTTCACCCCTTTTTGAAAAGACTTTATAAATATCAAAAGTTCAAGAGATTCAGTTTCTGGCTACCAAGGGAAAAATAAGCCTGTTTTTGTGGACTGCTTTCTAGAGGTAGTCAATGTAATTTACCCAGAAACTCAGTCTCTCACTTATCAACTCTATTTAAAAGACTACATTTGGTGTTTTGATATCCACCTTACTAGAGAGGTAGGCCAGCATAGAGGATAGAGGGGTGACATTGGAGTTAAGCTCCACATCTGACATATACTGGATCTGTGTGCAAACCATAGGACTGCAAGCCACTTTCTAAAACTAAAAGTTAAGTAATGATGGAGGGAGTGTTTCCACTTGAATTTCCCAACAGTGATGAACTCACAGGTCTGTAGGAACAACAGCAGCAACAGAAAAAAAAAAAACAACAACCACATAAACAAAAAAGAATAAAAATAATTCAACTGATTATTTTCCTCCAAATATATTAGTAAGCAACAACAATTCACAGTTTATAAGCACACTGCATGCACCATTATACTTACTTCTATAGTTGAGAGGTCAATTACATCCAAATCACAAAGAATACATCCATTTTCCTGTGTCCAAGCATTAGGGATATAATTTCCAAAATAGTTTAGTTGAATCTAGTAAAAAAAAAAAAAAAAAAGGAAAAATTCCTTTAATAACGGAAAGTCCCTCTCCATTATTTTCTCTCAACCCAACATCACTGATTTTTAAAGTCAGTTTTATACCTTTTAAGGGTTCTTTTAAAAAAAAAAGTCAACTACTATTCATGTCATCTAGAGTTCCACACTTTCACTTCAGCACAAAATAAGATAAATGTAGGTGGATGAGCCAAAAAAAAGTCATCACAAATAGGAGTATGTTCCATCTTTATTTAAGGAACAATAAAATAATTTACTGGAACATAATAGTAAGATAAAAGAGAGAAATGTAGGAGTTAGAAACAGATGACATACAATGTTCCTAATTCAGTTAATGAGTCCCCAAAGTCCAATAAATTACTACTTAGGACAGCCTGATTTTTACTATCAGGCTTAGGGGCAAATACAATCTAAAAGAATATGACTAATGTTCTTCGGCCGTGTGTTATAATAACTTTGAACGCATGTGAACATTTTTAGAGGTATGACTGATACACCAATTTCATGAGTTTCCATCTTTTACAGGGAATTGTTTTATTATTCTATTAGGGTTTTTCCAATTCATTATGTCTTTAGTGCATGCTAAACTGGCGCTACCCATCCAAGCACAACCTATTTTCACCAGGTTGTTGGGGAGCAGCTCAGCCAGAGAGCCTGGAGGACTAAAAGATGCCACTTACATTCCCTAGTTTTTCTTAGGTCTCAGTTCAAGCACCACCTAGGTGAGGAGGCCCTGCTTGATACCCCCAAGTGCTAGAACTTCCTCCCTGATATCACCTTATATTTACTTTGTACTCATTTTGGATATAAATGTAAGTGCTCGTGTTATTTCCCTAGATATAATGTAAGCTGCTAGAGGGGAGGAATCATTTCACTTTTGTCTTTAAACCTCAGTACAACATCTGGCATACTGTAGGTACTTAACACACTTTGGTTAATAGTTGGATCACTAAAAAACACAAAAAACACCCCACTCCAAAAAAAAAAAATCTCCTAAGCTTCTTAAGCATCACCAAGGGGAAATGAGATGGATTCTTTCTCTGCCTGTCTCCTGGTAACTTCTTTTCTTCCACCTAAGATTACAAGATTTAGAGACAGAAGAACCCTTAGAGTTCTGCCCCCTCATTTGACAAATGAGGAAACCAAAGGTCAGAGAAGGGAAATAAATCACCCACGGTCACTCAGATAGCAAGTAAAGAATATAAGCTCCTTATGATTGGGTACTGTTTCCTTTTTTTGTCTCTGCCTCCCTAGCATGGTACCTGGCATACAGTCAGTGCTTAATAAATGCTTGGCAATTGAAGTAAGAGTTCTGGGATTTAAACTCAGATCCTCTGACTTTAAAGCCATAACTCCTTCCACTATATAACACTGCCTCTCATGGTTTATTTTATCATAGGATCATAGATTTAGAACAGAAAAAAAAGAAAAACGCTTTGGGTAATCTAGTCCAACACCACTCTCCCATTTTACAGATGAAAAAATTGAGACCCAGACGGGCTAAATTACTTTTCCAAGGTTACACATGTAGTGTCAGAATCTAGACGTGAAAGGATCTTGACAGGCTAGGGTACTAAGCTGAATCTAAGAGGAAAAAATTTCAATGAGGAAAAATGTCAAATCTTGTACTGTGGCACCAAAAAAAAAAAAAAATCAACTTCCCAGGTATTAGAAACAGCAGTTTGTTCTGAAAAGCATTTGGAGATTTTAATGGATTGCAAGTTCAGTGAGTCAGCAGTGTAATATGTCATCCAGAAAAGGCTAATGTATTCTTAAGCCACATTAAGAGGAGGATCAATTCCAGGAATACGGAGATGTTCAGTTTGTACTCTATCCAGTACTCTGCCCTTGTCAGACCTCATCGGCAGTAACGTGTTCAATTCTGGGCACCTTGGCTTAAAAAAAAAGGGGCATTGATAGGCAAGGGAGTATTCAGCAAAGGACCACCAGGATGGTAAGAAGTCTTGAGTTCCATACCAGGATTCATTGAAGAAACTAAGTCTGTTTAGCCCACTTCGGCTTAAAGTCAGGAAAACCAAAAGAACACCTTCCAGTAATTAGAACTGTCCCAACGTGGAATGGTTCATGAAGTCTTTGCCTTAGCTTCTTCAGATGTAAAATGTGAATAACAATAAATGTAAAACCTATCACTCAAGGTCAATATGAAGTCAATCTCAAAGGAGATAATATAAACAGAATACTTTATAAGCTTTAAATCACTATATAAAAGTCAACCATTATGCTTATATGTATGCATATATGCATACAAAACACATTCTTTATAGCTGCATATCCATATATAGGCATATTCATACATATGAATATCCAACTATATAACTGGATATTATTCTTTGGAAAGAAATATGACAGCAATGAATAATGCATTTCTCATTTCTGAAAGAACAAGGCCAATTCAAGAATTAGGCTCCTATGACAGATAAGAAATAAGCAGTCATGACATTCGTTAGTGAAATGTCCAGCTTTTAAAAAAAACTTTCCATCTACAGAACCACTCTGATGTCCTTTAAGTGAACCACTACAACAAAAAACGATATAATTTTCACTGCCAGATGTCAAAGTATACCTGACACCCACCACCCTTTCATTAAATAACACATTTTCCACAGCTAGGAAAAACTTACCCTATAAAGAAAAGCGGTATTTTTGTTAAAATCATGGTTTATGAGTTTTCTTGATAAATTCTATTTAGTGATGATTGAAACTTGGCCCCTGGAAAACTGCAAATATCACCCTTCATTAACCATTTTTGCTTTGCAAAATAACTTTGACAAGAAGTAAATGAAGTTAAAAAAAACCCTAAATTCAAGCAATACTTCGAGAACTTGCTTCAGACTTACAAATACAAACTCTGAGATAATTGTTTTACCCTAAATCCATCATGGGTCAATCTTTAATTTATATATTAAATTATAAAGGGCATCAGAACTCCTGTGATAATTTAATCATACTTCCAAGAAAATATTAGGGTCAAAGGCATTCACTTTATTTTTAAAAATACTTCACTTTAGAATAATTTGCTTTCTACCTGAGTTCAATCATCAAATGTTATTTAGATTAAAAATAATCTACAGCCTGGAACACTCCCTTTCCTGGATCTTTGATGTAATTCAAAAAATAGAATTTTTCCCCCAGTACAACATCTGTTTTCTCCATAAAAAGTTTCAGACAGCTATTCTGGCATTGAAATGACTAAGAACTGATCATGCAGTTAAACAGTGGGTCTGGACAATCCCATTCTACTCAGCAATGATGTTTTCATCCATCTTTCACAATCCCAAAGAATTTTCCAAATGTGATGTCACTTTCAATGGCAATCACACTTGGTCCACTGTATTCCATTCGGTTTAAGTCCCTTGCAAAACAAGTATGGAAGTCACATTCAAATTTCCAAGGTCCCCATGACCTGAACACTTTGCATTATTTGATGACATATGTATGAAATTAAAGTGCTTCTCTATTTTAATGTAAGTCAAATTAATTTTAAAAAAAAAAGTCTCCTGAAAATGTACCTCTCTCCCTTTTTTGCCTAGATGGGAGAATACAGGAGAATACAGGACACTATGAGTGTCTTGGTTGAGGTTTTGGTTTGTTTAGCTGAACTGACCCCCCCCCTTTTTTCTTTTTTCTTCTTTATTAAAAGGGATAATTCCCTAGGTAGGGAAATGAACACAATGTGAAAGGAATCAATAAAATATTTTAATTAAAATATGAATTTAATTAAAATATTTTCATTAAACATTTTAAATACTTTTATGACACTTTATTTGAGCAATTAGATTACTCACTGCACCGTTCTGTGCCTCAATTTCTGTATATGTCTGATAAGAATAATGACTGTCCCTAAATATCTCAAAAAGTTGCTGCTAAGGTATGTGTACTCTAACCTTGTCAGAATAAAAGAAATTGTAAAATCTGGGGAATTAGAATTACTAATAAATCATCCCACTGAGAGAGACAAATGTTTTATTTTCATTCAGGACTACACTTTTTTAAGCTGCTAATAACCAGCTCTTTTTTTTTAATGGTGATTTTTATTTATTTTTTTTGTTTTCAACATTTACTTCCACAAGATTTTGAGTTCCAAATTTTCACCCCATCTCGCCCCTCCCCCACCCCAAGATGGCATGCATTCTAAATACCTCTTCCCCTAGTCTGCCTTCCCTTCTGTCTCTTCCCCCCTTCTCTTATCCCCTTCCCCTTCAATTTTCCTGTAGGGTAGGATGGATTTCTGTACCCCATTTCCTGTATTTCTTATTTCCCAGTTGCACGTGAAAACATTTTTTTAAACATGTGTTTTTAAAACTTTGAGTTCCAAATTTTCTCCCTTGCTCCCTCCGCACCCACCCTCATTGATAAGGCAAGCAACTAAATATAGGTTATATATGTGCAGTTATGCAAAACACTTCCATAGTAGACATGTAGTGAAAAACTAACTCTATTTCCCTTCATCCTATCCTGCCCATCCATTTATTCTATTCTTTCTTTTGACCCTGTCCCTCCTCAGAAGTATTTGCTTCTGATTACTCCCTTTCCCAATCTGCCCCCCTCTCTGTCATTCCCCTACTCTCTTGTCCCCTTCCCCCCCTATTTTCCTGTAGGGTAAGACAGATTTCCACACCCAATTGAATGTGTATGTTATTCCCTCCTTAAGTCAAATCCTATGAGAATAAGATTCACTCATTCCCTCCCACCTTCCCCCATTTCCCCTCCACTATAAGAGCCTTTTCTTTTCTGTTTTTTTTTGTCAGTGGGATAATTTACCCCTTTCTACCTCTCCCTTTCTCCTTCTCCTAGTATATTCCTCTCTCACCCCTTAATTTTATTCTCCAGATATGACCCCTTCATTTTCAACTCACCCTGTGCCCCCTATCTATCTATCTATATCTATATATACATACATATAATTTTTTCCTCTCCAACTACCCTAATACTGACAAAGGTCTCATGAGTTACAAATA